GCTGTTACCACCCCTGAGGATGCCACGGTCACCCCGAAGAACTGAACTATCACAGGTTCTGAACTCTAAGCCTGGGAAAGGTGACAACTGCTGGCCACTCTGAGGACACATTCCATTTCTGCTTGCCCTCCCACATATGAGTATAATAAATATTGTTTGAGAGATTGGTTAGGCATGTCGCAAAATGGATAAGATTCGGGTTGCCCAAGGCATTTCATAAATTTCATAGGTCTTAATTTATGTTGCTATAGTAATTGAAATGTTGGAATTTCCTGAGATTAGAAGGCTTTTGTATCCTTTGCCTTAAAATAATGATCATGTAGATTATGACTCCAGGCTTGGTCTTTGCCTGTGAGGAACATATATTCTGTGCATGCTGAGTATTCTATGGATGCTAAGGTGTGACGAATGTTCAATAATTGTAAATTCAGAATTAAGGTTTCTAATATCTAACCTGATTTTCTTATCTATGTGTGCAAATGTTGGTGGCCAAGATATTGTTAAGATAAATAACCTTTCTCTAGAGAGAAAGGGGGATTTGTGTGGGGAAGTGAGACGTGGAACTCTAGTAAGTACAGTCCTCGAGCACACTTCTTAAGCCCTGATGCAAAGTTGGCTTATCTTCTCTATCAGAGTGAATTTCCAGCAGGTGCTGAAGCACTCAGCATTTTGTTAACCAGTGTTTTAAGAAAAGACCATGCATAGGGGCATTTACTGCATCAACAATGTCTAAAGTGAGGAGGAGAGGGGGAAAGAAGTCCCTAACCCGATGACAGGAATGCTAGGGGCTACTCCAGAGCACACATGTTAACTGTGCAGACCCAAAGCAGCTGGAAAATTCCAAGCAATTACCTAGGAATGGCCTGGGACAGAGACGTCTCCCCTCCCCAAACCCAGCTTACCTTATATCCCGATGATTTGATGTGCACACCACGTTTGGTCAGAGTAGATTTCATTCGGATGAAAAAGGAACGCTCAAGGGTGTTGTCAGTGGTTAGCAGACTGGGGCTGGTTGACTCCACTGAGGAATACAAAAATACATACACACATGATTGAGACCTCTACACAGCCCCTTACAGCTACTGCTCAGGTGCAATCCTTGAGTTCACTAAAAATAAATGACTGATGGGTGCTAAGAGCAGTAGTAATCAATTTACCTCATTTAGAAAAGGTTTACTTTGCAGAAAATAAAAAGGAAAAAATTAATGTATCCAAACTAACCTCATTTCTACCAAGAGCTTTTCAGGCCTTTTCAATCCTAGCAGCTCCTGAAGTAGGGGATGATACTAAGTAACTGCAGTTCGCTTTGAGGCGTGGCTGGGGTGCATGCAAAGAGCTGGCATGTAAAAGAAGGGCCACTTAGATTGATGGTATCACCAAGGCACTGCAGGGACACTCCTGATAAAGAAAGACTTGCTCTTTGTTCTCCCTGGGAATCCCTTCTTAGGCCCTTTGCCTACCAGGGAAGTTCCAGGAACCCCCAGACCATCAAGGTTGGAGAGCTCTGTCCTGACCCATGTCCTTGATCTCCTGAACTGATTCTTTACATTGGGGAATAAGAAGCATGAAGTCTTTTTAACTGACTTGGAAACAAGGGGCAAAAATGGGACGTACAGACAAAAACAAATGAAAACCACTCACAACATCAACTTCCCATTCCTGTCACTAAAAATAGCATGAATAGGAACAAAGACAGTCTCTGCTTTCTCATTTCTGCTTTTGACATGAGAAAATAATGGTTTCCTCTCTTAAGTAAGAGAGTTCCTCTTTCTGTGTGTATGTTTTTAGGCTATGTAGAATATATTTTTACTTATAAAACTTAAAATAGTAGTTTTCAGTCTTGCTGATCTAAAAACACCGGTCTGCAAATACGCCAGAAGGCAATGCACAATCAGTTTTGTTTAGAAATGAACCTCTAACGTAGGTCTATAAATTTAAGTCTTGTCCTACAAAGAAATGAACTTTGGGCTTTTTAAGCCTAACAAATACTCTAATTTCACTCTTTGTAAATAGTAGGCTGAAGTTTTTCTTGTTTGAAAGTAAAAAGAGGTATATCTAACAACAAATAAGATTTCCTTTGAGCAGCTCTATGCTAAGGTATAAAGAAATATGTACAATGAAGAATTTTAGGAATTAAGTGTATGTGAAAACAGCTATCAAAAATAAAGAACTGAAAAAATAAGCCTTTAAAATTTATTATTGTTTTTTCTTTCTTACAATGTCAGGTTAACGGAAGGGCACATATGATCAGGTTACGTTGTTTGTGTTTGTTAGGTAAAGTCCAAGTATAAAATTTAAATTATGAAATGTATCCCCCATATTTCTAAAGGTAAATATTCTCTGTTTTCCACCTTCAACTTATGCTCAGATGAAAGAAGAATGAGAACTATTTTAATGACAAAAAAACTTGCTATTTGTGGTTCAGGGATTTTCTTGTGCCATTTTAATCTCCATGTGACTATATTTTCCTATTTTTATGTCATTTCCATTCTGAGGTAATGGCATCACTGACAAATGTCCCTTTCTTATGTGTCTCTCTTAAGCCTCTTTTTTGTTTTTTTTGTTTTAGAGAGCATGATCTGATGTCATTTTAAATGTACAGCTTTTTATCACTCGAGGGAAAAGGAGAGCCATGTTATATTTAGTACTTTCATTTCTTCTGATTAAATATGAATTACTATGAAATTTTTCTCATCATCTAACACGCCATAATACGCCAACAGCTTTTTAATACACTATATAAGCACAAACTTCTGCTCTAAGAGTTTAATTTGCCCCTCTAATCCAATCACATCAACCTTATTTCTCTTATCAGAGATTCCCATTTTGAATTAAATGAGCTCATTAGTTTTAATCAAAAGCAGAGAGATCAAAACTTAAACGTAAATGCTTTAGATCAGAACTGTCAGTCAGCCGTGCAGTTCTATTTTACTAAAACACAAGATCAGAGACCCTTAGAACCAATTTTTTCTCGTAAGGGATGCCGAGAGCTTGAAGATGCTATATCCTTTTTTTTTTCACTTCCCAAGGACAGATTATACATTTAAGGTTAGACTTAATTTATAGCCGTTTTTTCATCCTGGTGGAAATGGAAAAGTATGCCAATCTACTGTTGTCCCTTTCACATTTATTGGCACTGGTCCTCAGAGACTTGAACTAACGTGAAGCCATCAGAATCCACACCACAAACCCGGCCTTAAAAATTCAGCTCTGTTCAGCAAGATCATGTTTGCAATAGCTGAGGAAAAATGAAACTTCCCAGGGCACTGAAATAGATTTTAGGGCTAAGGTATTAAATACCCTGACCCGGTAAAGACGGAAGCCCCTGACTGGAGAGGGGGGTACTCCAGGCTTTTAGAGAAAGTATTATTTTCAGTTTGGAGAACAGGACAGTAGAACAGTCTTAGAGAGTATAATAGAGATCACAGCCTGGGTGCTTCCAGCCAGTGAAAACACGAGCTTCCCATAAGCTGTGAGGCTAAGCACTGTATTGGGCCCTGACTGCGGTCACACCCTATGTTACCACAGTAACTGCCCACATACTCAGGGACAGGGTCAGCTACACTGGGACAACTCCTGTAAGAGGAACATGAAGGTTAGGTCTTCCCCTAAGAAGCTAAGATTTAAAATCAAAATGAGTCCTCCAGCTTTATTGCAAGACCATAGAAGTATGGGGGCTGGAAAGAAGGAACTGGGCAACCCAGAAAGACCTTGATTTCTGGTGACAATTTCTACTGTAGTTCCCTATGACATCCTAGTTCCGAGATCGGGGCAGAGGGAATGGGCCGTGCCCTCCCTTTACGAAGGACAGGAACCAAACTTACAGCACACACCCTGTGGCCATGCTTTCTTAAGGGCCAGTAAATAGACTATGTTTATCCCAATGGTGGCAATGGTGTCACTCATGTGAAAGGACAAATGATCTGCATGTAACAGACAAGAGC